GCACCGGTGCTCTCGGGGACCCTCTTCCCCGACGCCTTCTCCCCGGTCGGGGGCTTGGGCAGACGCCGCCGCAGCCAGGGATGCCGCAGGGCCTGGCCCGGCGTCATGCGCACCGTGGGGTCCCACTCCAGACACTGTTTCAAGAAGTCGAGGAAGAGCGGGTCATCACAGCCCTTCAGCGCGCTGGCCCACTCCCGGCTCTCGGGGGGGCCGCGCAGCTTCCCCCGCCGAGAGCGGCCCCCGTTGAGGACCACGGAGCCGTCAGAGAGCGTGGTGACGGTGCAGTAGCGGGGGTAGCCCTTGGAGCTCACGAAGTTCTTGGCGCGCTTGGAGGCGTCCAGCAGCTTCGGGGAGGGCATGCCCAGGAGCTCGATCATGCAGGCCAGCTGGTCACCCTCGTCCTCCCCAGGCAGCAGCGGGTAGCCCGTGAGCAGCTCGGCCAGGATGCAGCCCAGGCTCCACATGTCGATGGGCATGCCGTAGCGGGCGCCGAGGATGACCTCTGGGGCACGGTAGAAGCGCGACTGGATGTAGGTGTAGACGCGCTGGTGCTCATAGCAGCTGGAGCCAAAGTCGATCACCTTGATGCCGCTGCGGCCCTGCTGCTTGAGCAGGATGTTCTCGGGCTTGAGGTCACAGTGGATGATCCGGTGGCGGTGCAGGGCGTCCAGGCACTGCAGGATGGAGTGGGCGAACTTGCGCACCAGCGGCAGGCTGAAGCCCTGGAACTTGTTCTTCTTGATGAGCTCATACAGGTTCAGGCTGAGCAGCTCGAAGGTCATGCAGATGTGGCTGCGGAAGGTGAAGCTCTCCAGCATGTGGATGACGTTCATGCTGTTGTCCCGGTCCTGCCGCCGCAGGTGCTCCAGGATGCGCACCTCCTCGGCCGCCTGCCGGTGGAAGCGCTTCTCGTTCCGCACCATCTTGAGTGCCACGTGCTGGTGCGCCTTGTGGTCGTAGGCCTTGACCACCTGCCCGAAGCTGCCCTTGCCGATGACCTTCAGCACCTCGTAGCGGTAGGCCACGTGGTCGTGCGGCACCTGCAGGTAGGAGCCCTGGCTGTCGTCATAGCCGCCATTGTTGGGCCCGCCCACCGTGCCCTGGCGCTTCTTGGCGCTGGGCCCCACGAAGTACACCTCGGGGTAGCTGAAGATCTCGTGGTGCTCGAAGGCTGTCAGTTTCTGCATGTGCTGCTTCAGTGCCTGCTCGGGCGTCATGGGCACGGCCTTGGCCTTGCCCAGGCCCTCCGTGGACTTGAGCGAGGCGGAGGAGCCCTGCCGCCGGTGCGTGCCGTCCAGCTGCCGCTCTGCCACACCCGGCAGGCCTGGCCGGCTGGCCGCCAACCCATTGGGCTGTGCCGTGAGCACCGTCCGCTTGTTGCTGCTGTCCTCGAAGAGCTGCTGCACCTGCACCTGCCCGTGCGCGTGGCCCACGTGCAGGTGGTCGCTCATGGTGGGCTTGCTGCCTCCGACCTGCAGGCAGACGGGAGACAGACACGAATGCAGAGGTCTGTGATCACGAGGCGCCGAGGCCAGCCCCACGCCCACCCCGCTCACCCAGCCGGGCTCAAACTCACAGCCGCGGCAGGCTGGCTGCATGGATGGAGCTGGGCTCCAGGAGGGACCTCGGGACACGCCGGCAGGAGTGGACACGACACTCGCCTGGTGCCGATGGGCCCTGACAGAATGCGAATGGGGACCCGTGGGCGGGACGGGGCCACGAGCATGGGATCCCCAGAAAGGCACCGCCAGCACAACCTGGGCCGTAGGTCTGCCTGCCCTCCCCAGGGCTCCCGGAAGGAGACTCCACCGTCTTGTCCCTTGTTCTTCACCTACACTGAGCACAGAAGTCCCCTCGGCCCGCACTCAACATAGGAACAAAATGGTACAGGCACGGAGACACCGTAGGCCCTCACCCGGGTCACACCACACTCATGCTCCAGCTGGCACCTCCTCAGTGACAAGGGCACAGGACCAGCCTTCCGCTGCCGCCATGCCTCCCTCAAACCCAGCTCTGTTCTCAGAACACATCACTCCAGGGTGCCCCTGGCAGAAGCGGTCCCAAGATGCAGAAAACAACACCTCAGGCTTCAAAGAGTCACACGTGGATACGGCACCATAGCATCCTGTCAACCTCCACCTGGTTCTGGAAGTTTCTGGGCTTTACTGACCATGAAAGGTCGTTCAGCCCAACACCCGAGGCGGTCACGCGCTGCCTCAGGCCTCCCTGTGGCCCACAGCTCTGTTCCCGAGACATGTGCCTCCATGGCCGTGGGCCACTCAGCCTCCCAGCAAGGAATCCACAGAGGCTGTTTCTAGCTCAGACGCACAAGCCAGCCGAACACTTCCATCCACCCAGAACTGGTGGTGGAAACCAGGGGCCCAGCTTGCCTTAAATGTCCTGCACTGTCACCGCCAGGTCCCTTCCCAGCGCAAAAGCCTCCAGCCTGAGACAGTCACACGCCCTAGGCAGCCTGGCAGGTGATTTTCACACGAAGTCTTAAAAAGCCAGCCTGAAACCCACAAGCCACGTCATTCATTTGACAGTGCTGATGGAGGCCCTGCCTCTCTGAGCCTGCAGCTGGCTCGTGAAGGCCCCTGCCATCAGTGTGTCCGGTTATCCCCTTCTAAATCCTACCTCGTGGGCGCCATAACCGCGGCCAGCACAGATGGCTCTGGAAACACTGCAGAGTATCCAAATGACGCTTTGGAAAGGCCTGGGCTACAAAATGAGACTCCAGCCCTCCCTGCGGGCAGACCAGGCCGTCCCACCTTCCTCAGCTGACTGGCACTTGCACAACTTTTTCCACGTCTCAAACAAGGCAGAAGACGGTCCCTGGGTCTGTCTGGGACTTCACAGATTCAGGGGTTTTATCTCAGGGGGGATTTATTTCAGGAGACTCCAGTGAGCTCCTTTATGAAACTCACAGATGCTACTCCACGTGAGGCGGCCCTTTACTTTTGGGGGAAGATGGACAGGCGATTCTGCCCTCGTGCAACGCCCAGGCAGGGCCATCCGCGGAGTGAGTCTGGGAAGTCTGGGGCACCGGCAAGGGTAGCGCGGGCCTGGCCACAGTTTCTCCTCCCGGCCTTGCTCTCAGCACCCCTGGCCCTGGTCTCCACAGCAGCATTTCAAGACCCGGGGAATACAGGGGCCTGGAATTCCAGGCGTCTCTCTCCTATAGAGCCGTGCTCACCAGGTGGGGCAACGTCTCAGAGAACAGTCCACGTCGCCCTCTAGCCACCTGCACACAAGCCACGAAGGCAAGACACTCCCTCAGGGCATGAGCAACCCTGGGTTCCAGGAGTCCAACAGCACAGCCCAGGAGAACTTTCTGAGCATCAGAGAGACCCTTCCATCCTCGCCGTGGCAACTTCTGCATTTTACATAATTTAAAACACAATCCCAACGTTTTCGTGATGAGAACTAGGAGACTCTGCAGTAAGCGGCCACCCCCGTCCGTCCAACTGCCGCCTCCTGGTCTCCTCACCGCTGCAACCCTCTGGCAGGCTCCAACCCAGCTCTCTCCCCACTGACCCTGAGCACGGCTAGGGCTCAGGCCCCTCCTGCAGGCTGATGTGTCCACAAGCTCACACCTGCCAAGTCAGTGTCCCAAGAGCCTGACACACGCACATCCAGCTACTGTCCCACTTCCCACCAGCTCCCTCCACCACGGGCAACTCAACACAACTCGTGACCATCCACTAAAATACGTCCAGCTGCTGACATCCAACTACCTGCCAGCTCCCTCCACCACGGGCAACATAACCCAACTTGTACCATTCACCAAAACGGGTTCTTCCTTCTATGGTGCTCAGGTTTTGGCTTCTCCTCCACAGACACTCAGGCCACCCCAGGCATCCTCGCCCACCTCTTCCGTCAGCACTGCCTGGCTCACACTCCTGCACCCCTCCCTGGCCCAGCCCCAACACGCCCCTGCTTCCAAGCCCGGACTCCTCAGGCCTCTCTCCACGCCATGCTTCCAGAGCCACCTGAGTGTCCACTTGAGACTGTGCTCGCTAAGGCCACAGCTGCCACCCCAACGTGGCCAGCGGAAAGAACATGTGGCTCCATGACACAGCACCCGGGGACGAGTCTGTCTAGTCTCAGCTGCCACCGTCACCCTTCTGTCCGAGAGCAACGAGCCGCACGGGAGGCTCCAGCACCACGGAGACACCCCTCCGCTTCCACTGAGTTCCGATTCCTGCTGGTCAAGAGCCCAGGGTTTCTCAGACACACAGGAAGTACACCAGCTCCACCACCACGAGCCATGGACCCTGGGCGACACAATCTCTGTGCCTCTCGCCGCCCTGGTCTGCCGAAGGAGGGGAGCAGGGTCGCCCCACCAGGACTACTAGGAGGGTGCCGGGAGGTGGCCGAGTGCTCAGGACGACAGTTCCTAACACACGACAGCCACGATGTTGTCCTCCCTGGGTGCCACCTGGAACCTCTTTCCGCCCCACGGCTGGGCAGCAAACTTCCAATCAACCTTCATGCTTGGGTCAGCTCCCTCCTCTGTGAAGCCCTCCTGACACGCTCACAGCCCTGCTCAGACACCCACCTCATGCCACGCACGTGGCTTCCAAGTCACCAGCGCCCCCTGGCTGTGCGCAGCTCGGGGCCGGAGTCCCGCTCACGCTCCTTGGCCTGCGAGCACAGCCAGGCCTGCTGTAGGCCCTCAACAAACACCAGCGGCGTGGATGAACACGTGTCCACGAGTCCCTGGCAACTCTGCCTCCCTTGGGGTCACTCCGAGAACCCTACCATGTACCTTTGTAAGAAAACATGAAGTCAACGCCCAGGGAGCCAGGGAACATCCCGCGCAGCCTCAGTCACAAGATGTGGGACTTACGGGGCCTCAGCCGAGCCTCGGAGGCCAAGGACAGCCGGGTATCGTGGACCTGCAACTAAACGCCTCACAGCAACGTGTGGCATCTAGAACTCTCTGGATGTCAAGGAGAGCCACCGGAGAGGCTGCAGTGAGAGAGGACTTGGAGTCCCCGGCACTGCAGCACTCCAAGCTCACAGCCTAGCCCAGAAGTGCAAATGACTGACCCAAGATGGGGCAGGGACTGACGCACCCTCACGTTTCCAGAACACACACACCCAGGCGACCTTACACACGGGCAGGCGTCAAAGCCTCTCTCACTCCCGCTCAGCCTCACCAAGGCTGGTCGTGGCTTGCTCCGATTTGCCAGCGTCTAGCACTGGGTGTCCCATTGAAAAATATACACTGAATGAAAAATATACACTGAATTGCTAAAATAGCTGCAATGGATGGGTGAAGAGGAGAGACCCTCACGAGGCTTCTCTGCCCAGGAAACGGTTTGGTGTCCACAGTTACGTAAGGACAACAGGCTCCCCAGTCCTCCAATAACAAAACAGGCAAGAGTGGATTCTCACTGTGCTACAATTTCTGGGCGTTTTAGAACTTCTCTGAAGTCATCTTGGAAATGCGGGGTGGTGTTCTGAGACGAGACCAGCGTCCAAAAGCACTCCTGACACACCTAGCGGCCTGTGTGGCCCACAGTCAGAATATCACAAACTTTTAAATGTGAGTTTTAAGCCTTCTCTAACTCCTTATTTTATGAAGGCAAAACGTGACAGGAGAGGGCGTTAAACAGGAAAACAGTTATGAAAGTGATATGCATTAATATTTTGGAATTTAAAAAAATAAATATGTCTCCCATGCAACGTTAAGAGAAAAAACTCATCGGAATTAAGACTGCTACTGGGTATATTTTTAGAACAGACAGAAATAGACTAAACGACTGAAGTGCACAACTGGACTCTCAAATGCAGGGGGATAGAAAACACTGGGCAACGAACAAGATGCTTCCCAAGTTCACCATCATACGATCACATATGTGCCTGTTGCATCGCGTACAAGGAGACCGGTCCTCAGGACAAGACCGCCCTCTCCTCCGGGCCCCTCCTCCCTGCTCATGCGACAAGTCCTTCCTAGGTGGGACTGCCCTGAAATCAAGAACACAGAAAACCCAACAGACATCTGGGAATACACATCTGCAGAGGTTCTTGCATTTATAATGAGGTGAAAACAACATCCGAGAGTCAGCAGTGCCTGGCAGTGAGTGAAAGCTAGACTCTGGGGTGTGGGGCCTTTCTCGCTCGCCTGGATGGGAACCCAGGAATCGGACCGACCCAGTCACCTGTCGGCATCTGTTTCCTCGTCAGCAAGGTGAAGGAGCCAGACACACACCGGTCCTTCCAAACTGTCCTGGGCTACACCACCTCTGTGCTGTTACCCAGATAAAACAGAAACTGAACAACTAAGGCCCACATCCACACTGCCAAACCCAAGCCTCTGATAAATAAGCACACGGAACTCAAGTTCAGAGAAGTGAAGCCGGCAGACGCCACAGCAGACACAGACCTGGTGTCAGGACGCACACACCCACAGCACGGCCTCTCCGGGCACCCAGGCCCTTCCCCCAGGGGAGACCTG